GTGGACGGTGGACGTGGAATGGATCGCCAGCCTGATGCTGTCCGTGTAGATTTTCGTCCGAAGTGTTGACTCTGCATTATTATCTCCATTTAAAGCCTCAAGGATTTCGGCATATAATAGGTGATATTCTCTAAGGAAATTTAAGCGTTCCTCCGCAGGCGTGATATTTAGGCCATAAGCGTTCAAGCATATGGTGTGATCAAACTTGAAAAAATTGCCCAACGTAGTAAGAAGGTAAGGGATCCTGAAACGAAATGGATTATAGCGACGCAATATCTTCTCATCGTTCTTTTTCCATGGATAAAACGAAATACTTTCGGATCCGAGATGCTCGGTAGGATATGGAGATTTGCTGCTCTTCGGTTCTCTCCGTGGATAATTGTCGTCAATGAGGGTGCGGACCGCAGCGATGTATTTTGGATCAACGACTTCTGAAAGATCCCAATCAATATGTTCGTAGGTCATTTTAATGCGTCAGAAGAACAAAATAGTGTCAAATTTACTCGAGTGTTCACGGTGAAAAATTAGCCCAAGTTTTTGAACAGAGGCGAGAAGGACAGTCTTATGGCCCAACACGAGGTTGGGAACGCCCGTGACGTGGCACAGGTACCGCACCTGCATCCCACCAATCGTACGCTTGAAAGAGAGCTAGCCAAATGCGCTTCCCCTCTTTTCGATATACCCACCTTTCGATCAAGCTTCGAGCAAAGTTCAAGCCAAGCATATTTATCTCAGAAATGGAGAATTACCCTGCACCCAATTATGGAATTTCTGCAGCCTAAACCCTGACGGATTACTGCCCCGCTGGCCGCTTTAAACCGATTTGTGCTGACTCTGGCGGCTCACCTGTCTCTTCTTGCCATTTGGCTCTCATCTTAAGAAACTCGGACTTTCCAATGAGAGCTCTGAGAGACTCTGCGCTACTCGGTCGTGGCTGTTTCTGGCTTTCAATAGCCGCTTCCGAAAAACGAAACGAGTCAATAATAAAGTCCAATAGTGCAGCTACAATAGTCAGTGTTTGTCTTAGCATCCCAGTGAACTCAACTCATATGCCGTAAGAGAAAAGACTTACCCATCTCATCGCACCTCTTCTCCCCGACCTTTCTCATCACAACACTATACTTCTCATGGAAAGCTATTTTCTCAATCCCTCTCCCATCCCCCATGTTATTCCATGGGTTGCCAAGTGCCCCAAACCGCCACGGCAATTCCCCAAATACAGCTCTATACATACAAACTCCCAATGCCCAAATATCAGCTGTACCGTCAAACTCTGTCCTTTCCTGCTCGGGCGAGTGGAAACCGATCGTCCCGTTGGTGCCGGGTTGAGCAGGTATTGTTGTTCTGTTCGCAGGGATAGGAATGATGGAGTCGATGTCGAGGATAATGGCTGTCAGGCGACGTGCTGGAGGGGGGCAGGAGGCTGTTTGGCTCACGAGGGAACGGGTGAGGTTTTTGAGGCCGATATTGGGTGGTTTGATGTCTGTATGAACAAAGTTATGGGCGTGAAGAAAACTGAGGCCTTGGAGACAATCGCAGAGTATAATTTCCAATTTCGTCCAGCTTTCAAGTGTTAGCACCTAGTCTGTGCCCTTGCAGCAGGGTCGATCTTACTGTGTTTGGCTCTGTTTCGGCAAAGCCATCAGAGTATTCTCAACAAAAGGTTCAAGGACTAAGTGAAACTCATCAACTTTGCCTTCCATGTGCATCACATCGATACATGTCAACACATTCTTCTGATGCTCTCTCTCCAGCATTCTTGAAAGTGATCGGACCATATTCACCTTAGATCGAACAAACTGCAGGTTGCCGCGGGTTGGTACCATACTCTTAATAACAACGACATTCCCTTGTGGTCCCGTCGCTGGCTTGACCCGACCATATGTGCCCATTCCGATCAGGTTGGCTCCTGTAATGGTATAGCTGCCTATTGTCTGAGTGGTCACGTTGGGCGTTGGCGTCGCTGATAGTGCATCCTCAGTGGGTTGATCATCGCCGTAGATATCCGCCAGAAAAACCTCCAGTGTCTGACGGCCTTCGGTCGTGCGACAGTAGTTTGTGTACTCTAGTGTATAGCTCAAGTCCTCGAACGCGATGGAGTTTTCAGCCTTGGCGCAAACAGCCGTGTTTCCTCCGTGGGACGATGGGATGGTGTAGTTGTTGACTGTTGCGGCAGCCCTTGGCTCGACCTTGACACAAGCCATCCTTGTTTCTTGGGCAAATGTCAAGCATGCATGTCTTCTGGCTACACGATTCCGTCGTGATGTGGTGAGTAACAAGTCAACTACTGGCTTCTCAAGAGTGAGGCTTTTCGAGCTCAACCTTCCAACAGCCCATCCTCGACTAGGAAGTAAAGGTTTGACTTTTGGATCAATGAAGTAGAATCCCGTCCAGATGGGAACCGGACTCGGCATGCGCTCTTTCGACGACGACGAAGGTGAAGATGATGATAAATAGGCATTTGAATGGACAAGATGAGTCACCGCTGGGTCGGCGGTAAGCTCGTCAGAGTACCAGATGTATTTTGCGTAATGAGAGCGTGCGGTGTTATCTGCATTGTAGTCTTGTTCTTGCAGAAAGTCAACGACGTTTGAGAAGGCGAATTTTGCAGCGGCATTTTTAGGGCGAAGGATGAGAAGCGCTTCCGCTAATGGCGAATTTGGGCCGAGAGGATCCCATTCTGTAGCGGTGCTGTCTGGTGTTGACATTTAGTTTTACAGTCATCGCAATCTTTAGCATCGTGAATAATTGAGGATGGAGGTGGAGACAGAATTGCTAAGTTAAGAATTGAATTGTCCTTGCCGAAATAGGCTTAGTCTACAATGGACCAATGGGAGCTGATTGACCAACGGACGAATGTTGCTCCGTCTGTCACGTGAATTCGCGACAAGTCAGCACGTTCCCTCGTGAATGTTGACCTCATGAATTTACCTTCAGCATCAACAAGTCAATTAACAAACTCTTATCACATCATCCGCACCCACCCTCCCTGGATGCGCATCTGTTTCTAGAGCTATGATATATCATCCTCCATCTTCTGCACCTTGTCGAACCGAAACGCGACCGCCATGAGATCTCCTAAGCCAACGCCGCCAAGCAACAAACCAGATAATGAGATATCCATCAGTCATACTTGGAGACATGCTCTTGCGATACAGATCGAGAACAACCAAGGCGTGCGTCTTTTGATTATTTTCGGGCGGTATATACTGATTATGGACAGGAACTTCCATGTCCTGTGGCGACACAGGGTGCTCACCTCATCCCTCCGCCACCAACACCTGCTTTCCAAACAAGCATTCCCAACACAGTCTTCATTCGAAGCCTCACTAGCAAACTCAAACTTCTTCAAATGCGTCAAAATATCCGAATAGGCCTCTACGGTGCAGAGTTTGCCGACCAGTGGCCGATATCCAGGACGCCAAGAGATCTTGCCAAGGACGCTGCTAATAGAGTCACCAAGATACACGATGACCTATTATTAGCCTTGGGCGATGACACAGAAACAGATGAGGAAGAGGATGGGAGGTGCGGTATACAAAGTGAGTTAATATCTGCGGCCTGCCGAAAGCGCATGTCTGAGGCAAGGGAGAAGAGGAAGAAGAGAGACGTTCCGCTCCCTTCGCCTGAAGGAACGGACGATGATACGACTGGAGAGATAAGGAAGAGGAAGAGGGACGACATTGACTTGGTGGAGCCAACGCGGAAGAGAAAGAGAGATGCAACAAGGAGACATTGAGTCATAGGAAGAGGAAAGCTAATTAATGCTTCAATGTAGATGACAGCAGTGACTGAGATAGATGCGCTGGAAAATCTATTAATGCTCGCCCAGTTAATTTATTATCTCCTACTCAAGTATTACTAGCAGAAACGCATTGCGTTTCCTCACAACGACATCATGAAAAAGGTGACTAGACATGGGCGTAGGGAGCTGACCAAAACTACTTTCCATACACTATACCCAGTCTCAAGGTCATTTAGATATTATAAAAACTCTTTTTATCTTCATTCCTGCTCTCGTTGTGACGTTATCGCTCGTATTAGTTGTGAACCTCGTCGTCGCTTCACCAGCTCATACCCAATCAGAATTTCGTGGTCAAAACTAAACCCAATTCCATTTTCGTGGTCAAAACTAGTCCTTCCACGAGCTAGCGCACTGCATACCCGCGCTAAGTCTGTTTAGTCAAGTAATCTCCACATCTGTAACTGTCGCAGGCCGGGCATGGTC